AATGAAGAATTTATGGAAACAATGGATTCGGTAGTTCCACCAGAAGTAAAAGGAATTAATAAATTTGTTTTAGCATCAGCCATATGTTTATCATTATTTGGATGGAAATATGATTATGATTATGGAATTGATGAATTAAGATGTGATATGTGTTTTAGAGATTGTTTAGTAAGTGGATTTAGAAATGTTGCGAGACAAAAGGAAATTGGAGCATTGCAAGAAAATAATTATGAACAGAAAGATTTATCACTTCAAGTCTTGGCTTGTAAGAATGTTGATGATATCTGGAATTTATTACAATCTAATAGTGAACAGTTTGATTGTGAATATGAACATTATTGGTATTGTATATGGGTTACGGGTGGTAATCAGCAATTAAGGAAAAAAGATCCTAAAGAATTGGAGAGATTACGACCTGGTTGGAATATAACATTGTCGCACATTCTGGAACATAGTATGTTGGTTAATTATAATAAAGATGGTGATGATAATAATATGGATAACAATAACAATGGCAACAATAATAAAAATGATGATGATAATTTTAAATTAAAAAAGGTATGAAGAGATAAAGAAATTGATGATAATAAATTATAAAAAGATTTTTACTTCTTTAATTTTATTTTCTATATATTTTTAACATTGAAAGTTTTCAATTTTATCAGATAGAGAAACTTAACCAATACATCAAATCACTTTCACCAACTAGAAAGAAAAGCTTTCATTAATTGTCTGGTGTGATTTGCTATTAAAAAATTAATTAAAGAAAAATTCAGTAATTTGTAATTATCATTGAAAAATCAATTAAAGATATATGAATAAATCCAATAATTGACAATTTGACTTGGTGATAAATGTCTTAAAAAAGTGCTACTAGTTGTCTTGGTTTTTTTTCCTTCTCTTTCTCATCATCATGGCTAAAATCTAGAAGATTCGCCTTCCATTTTCTTCCTCTTCCATCCTCTGAACTATTCAGCAACTCACTATGTTTTTGAGAAATTTTCTATGGTTTCTAATAAACTCATACCCATATCCCGAGCTCAAACTTCTAAAACGTCCTAAACTGGTATGAATACCTTAACTGAAAATCCAAAAAATAACCGCTCTCACATTATCAAAATGGCATTAAAGCAATCTCCTTACTAATTTTT